GTAATATAGGTCTAGATGATGAATATGCATTTTATTCAAGGAAAACGAGTGACCCAGATAACAAAAATAAACAACTGAACTACTGATGGAAAACTTGTTCATATAGCTGAACGAGAGAGAGAGAGAGAAAGGAATAGCATAGACATATTTGTATATGTTGGGGAAACATCGAACCTCACATAGGTTACGTAAAGGAGAATGAAAAGAATGAAAAAGGTTAGCGTCAACAACATAACATCTGCTGACGCTAACACTTTCAGATGTTGATTCCGGTCCGCATATTGGTTTAACTCAGAGTAGGCTTTTCTCTGTTACAAAGATTTTTCAACTGGTTAAAAATGAGTGAAAACGTGCCAAAAAATCGAATCCCAAGCACAACACGGCTACGAACTTTCTTATTGGCCACATTTTTTAGACTTTCAAAATAGATCTACTAGCTGAGACCTATCTGGATTTAAACTTCCAGAGTAATCCATCGAATATTTCATTAAAAAATTCCCGAAATATGAGCTCAGAACTCTTAAAAAAGCTAGTAAATGAATGTCTTGACTCTCTAAGGAGTAAAAATGGAAATCGGTTGAGCAGCCATATATACCAGAAGATAGAGCGAGCGACGCTCTACAAAACCTAGTATACCATCCTTCACCCAAATTCGGAAGAGATTTTTTATTCTAAGACAAAGTTTGCATAGCAGTGAAATATTGGGCTTCCATTAGAAGTTTCACTTTTCGAAGCTGAACAACTTGGCTCATATGCGATTGGATAGAGCTGAACGTGGGCTATCAGGATATATATATAGGATGTTTTCTTTTGGTCCTAAAATCAAAAAGAAAATCTTCGCGGAAAAATCAGAACTTTTCAGTTTGACTATGGTTTTCCCGAAGTTTCGAAAGTCGTATTTTGCTTATTTCAACCAGAGTCTATATTCAAACATTTAACAATTTATTACCAAAATGATCAGGTCATCGAGCTCTACGAACTCAGAAAGTTTCAGTCGATTCTGAGAAAGTCATGTATAAAGTGGTAAGTTTCCCAGGGATTCACCCTTTCTAAAGTTCAAATAGTTATTGTTATTGAACGAACACTATTTTCTATCAGGAGGTTATGTAGATTTTGAGCTAATACAATAAGACGGTTGTTTTTGATAAATAAACCAACTATTAATCGAAAACATAGATCAACAAAGTTGAAGGACTAATGCAGTTATCATTATTATTTAATGCAAATGTTGGATCCGTAGATAAGTTTTCAAGTAATGTCCAGAAACTCAAAGTGATGTCACCTTAGGATAAGTAAGCCTAGAGCACATTCTGTAGATTCGATTACATAGAATGATTTCCAGAGTCGACTAGGAAACTGTGTATAAAATCTCTTGAATCAAAATGAAAAGCTCCTGTTCTTGATATAATATTTGTACTCTTACATAACAACAGAAAATAGACGAAAAATCTGTAGTTGGATCATTACAACAAGTTTCGATCAACTTACAAATAGGTAGTTCCTGCGAAAGTAAAATTTTCTGGGTTTATAAATTGACTTTCTGAATAGGGATGGACCATCTGAACTAACACAAAATTTAGTTTAATTTTGTTAGTTAACATTTAAATTACTTAAAACAAAGTTTAAGTGGTTGAGTTTGGAAAATATCATGTGGTTTCTATTTTTTCTTTACTACAATACATATTCACATTGACGTTATTGAGGAGGTATAAAATAACACTTCTGGTAAACCTTGATCGGTCCAAGAAACAATATTGTTTGCTTTAATAATAGAGGGCAAAAAAGAAAAAGAATTTTTGATCACTCGTTTTCTTTTTCGATTAGTGATTGTCTCTTATCATCTATTCTTGAGTGCTTCTACACGATACACACAACTCCTCATTCGTATTCACTAGTTTGTTCTCAAGGAGCAAACAAATTATGGCATGCTCGAAACAATTAGTGTGTAAGTGTATAAATGGATGCATAGTAGACTTAAATCCCCAACAGCAACGGGGCTCATTAAGCCATATTTCAAGTAAAACATTCGACCTTCATGGACTTTAAGTTTTAAGATTATTTGAACCGGCAACCTAGTAAATTTGAATTGATACAACTTCAAAATTAATATCAACTAAAAGTATTTCCGACTGAGATTACTCTCAAGTATCCTTGATCCAAAACTATAAAAAAAAAAGAAAACTGTAAGGATACCTTATTTCTAGAAACAAAAATACTTCATTTGGACTGCACATTCTGACGTGCGAAAATTTATGCTATATGTCCGTCTGTGTGTCATAGTCTGTGAGAGCATCATGTGTATGAGTTTCTCCCTATATACTTTGAACGCTCATTTTCAATCGTGTTCGCAAAAGTATCAAGACGAGAGGTCTACTAATACACAAAGTGTTCGGTCCGAAATTGAGATACAACAATTCGGAAAACGTTTCGAACTGCTGAACTGTTCAACAAACACAGATGAACTGAACTGATCTGTTCAAACAGTTCCGTTCAGTTTGCCATATCGGTTCGAATAGTTCTTTCCAACTGAGCTACACCGTTCGCAGAAAAGGGGTACACATAAGTGGTCATGCGCTATCCTAGGAAGCTACCCATAGGTCTCCATGGGCTATCATAAAGGGGTATCGACAAGTCCTCATGGGTTATCCTATGGGAGGTAACCACTGGAGGTCAACAATTCCAGTTTTAGTTCAGTATTGATGTACTGTTCAAAACGCTCACCAACACGAACTGAACTATTCGAACAGTTCTTCTCAAAGAGTTTAGCTTCATTAAAAGTTATCAAGAAAAGCTAAATCCATAAGCTCTCAACTCCTATTTTAGAGGGGTATCCTCAGGACCTCAAGTACTATTTAATAGTGGAGTTCTTGGATCCTGCTATAACACTTATTTTCGAGTTAATACGGAAGAAAGCCAATCAAACATTTGCTTGGTTAACGAGGAACCAATGAGATTAAAAGTTACTATTTGTCAGTGATAGAAGTGACCAGAACTCATACATATACTTCTCATTGGATAGTGTATCTCGATAACCTAGGGATTGGCTCGAACGTGACTACTCGTTGTCCGAACAATAAGAAAGAGAAGACCTCTTGAAATTTGTTTGATCGAAAGTTGGACGAATAAGATGTCAGAAAGAGTTCTCCGATTATTTTTTCGTGAGAATCAGAGGTGATGTTAGGGCGGGCGTTACAGTTTGCTAGGACACTCTATTGTATCTGATCTGTTCGTTTGAGGATCCCTGCTGTATCCTACGGAGAAATACAGTGCGCAAGCAGAGTAACCCCTTTCTCCCCCTTAATAGAAGTTTCTGGGTCTTCTAATGCGTCCTTGTATGTCAACGTCCTACGAGGGGTCTTCTAAACCGTCAGTCGCTAGAAAATTGTACGAAAACAAAGCAAATTCTAATTTTGATCATGTAGATTATCAAGTAGTATAATATCATTAGCATTATCATCAATTTCTGATTCATCAGCGGAGTTGAATATTGAATATTCTGTCATATCAATAATTTTGTTTTCTTCTTCATCTACATTTGGCACGACTTCGATAAAATCATCATCTTATGATTCGCTTGACGAATTATCGAAATGATTATTATCAATTAAAGGTAACAGATGTACTTCACCGTCGTTCGTCGACATGTTATTTGCTATTTGTTTGCGATTAAAAACATTCAATTTATGCTTTTTTCTTCTTCTTTCAGTTGAAGAGGACAAGGAAAGTAATTTGTTTCTCTTTTTTTTCCTTCGTGAATGAAAGTGGTGCGTATTGTTCTGCTTCTTCGTCCGGCATTTCACCTCTCCTAGAATACCGTCCTCAAAGAACGAGCGTAGAAAATTCTGATATACGAAATTTTGGTAACTATGCTCGGCTAACCGAACAAAATTTATGCTTAAAGAAGAAGAGCCGGGTCTTGTAATACGGCTTTCAAAGTTTTTGATAAAGGAGATCTTCTAATATGGCAGGTGGTTTAGTCTATTTCCTTACTAGGCCGGTTCCGGAAGATGTGTGCTTTTATGTCATACTGCCATGGATTGCTGAGATCTGAAGGTTACCCCTCAATACAATGCTTAAGGATGAAAGTTATCCCCTGGTATTAGAACTTGAGGATGCAAGACTACCCCCCGAATAGTAGGACTGAATGACCTCCGGGTATTCCTATAGTATAACTTGAGGACAGAAGAGTACTGCTTAACAGGCAGGAGTCTAGAACCTAGGGGTATCACTATAGTAGGATTTGAGGACCTAAGAGTACCGCCTATAGTATTACTTGAGGACGAAAGGGTACCATCAATAGCGGAACTCGAGTATCCTAAGATTCCTTCTATAATAGAGCCGGAGGACGCAACGAAAACTCCCTATAGTATGGTTTGGGAATCCAACAGTAGCTCCATAGGATAGTCGTTGTGAACCGATGGATAGTTCTATCGGATAGCCGTGTTGAGTTGATTTCAGAAGAGCTGTTTCGATAGCTCGGTTTGTTCGCCAGAACTATTTGAACCGCTCAGTTCATTTGAAACGAACTGTTTGAAACGGCTCATTTTGTTCAAAAGAAGTGTTCCAGTAACACCAGGACCAGGGAATATATCCGTTTCTCTTGTTAAAACTATTTGTTTTGAGAAGGTGATCAGTGGACACCACTATTTGACATAAAATCGAATCTTTCGTCTACCATGCTACTTTACGATGCCCATGGTAAAAGAAAGATTTGCTACAAAGAGTGAACATCGTTATTTTCTCTTCGTAAACTACAAAATATTTCTTTAATGACGCACAGTGTACTCTTATAAAATTTTGTTTCATGCATAGAAAAAGTTTCATTTCTATGCACTTGACACAGAGTTGATGCTAATTATGTCAGAATCATTTTTCATCGAGTGAAATCTACACAATTCCCATTCATGACTGCGGGTTTTGAAAGTTTTAACGGTGCGATGTGGTTTTTTCAAACTCACTGTAAGAAATATTTCCTCGTAGATTGGACCAACACAAGTAGTATGAGTACTGTTCGATATTACCATACAGCATCCGTATTAACAAATGGAAAAGTGTTAGTTGCTGGTGGAGACAACGGTTCTTCTTATTTGAATAGTGCTGAATTATATGATCCATCAACAGGAACCTGGACCAACACTGGCAGTATGAGTACTGCTCGACTATATCACACAGCATCCGTATTAACAAATGGAAAAGTGTTAGTTGCTGGTGGACAAAGCGGTTCTTATTTGAATAGTGCTGAATTATATGATCCATCAACAGGAACCTGGACCAACACTAGCAGTATGAGTACTGCTCGACGATATCACACAGCATCCGTATTAACCAATGGAAAAGTGTTAGTTGCTGGTGGATGGAGAGGTTCTTATTTGAATAGTGCTGAGTTATATGATCCATCAACAGGAACCTGGGCCAACACTAGCAGTATGAGTACTGCTCGATATGACCACACAGCATCCGTATTAATAAATGGAAAAGTGTTAGTTGCTGGTGGAGTAAGAGGTTCTACTTTGAATAGTCCTGAGTTATATGATCCATCAACAGGAACCTGGGCCAACACTAGCAGTATGAGTACTGCTCGATCTTCTCACACAGCATCCGTATTAACAAATGGAAAAGTGTTAGTTGCTGGTGGACTAAGCGGTTCTTCTTTGAATAGTGCTGAGTTATATGATCCATCAACAGGAACCTGGACCAACACTGGCAGTATGAGTAGTGCTCGAAATGTGCACACAGCATCCGCATTAACAAATGGAAAAGTGTTAGTTGCTGGTGGACTAAGCGGTTCTTATTTGAATAGTGCTGAATTATATGATCCATCAACTGGAACCTGGACCAACACTAGCAGTATGAGTACTGCTCGATATCGGCACACAGCATCCGAATTAACAAATGGAAAAGTGTTAGTTGCTGGTGGATGGAGTGGTTTTTATTTGAATAGTGCTGAATTATATCAACCATAACAAACAAAAAAACAATAAACAATTTTTTTCTTTCTTTCCTTAATGAACCTTGTTTACGAAAACTAATTTAACATTAATATTATTTTACTCTTCTAACAATCCCTTTTTTCTTTGTAATTTCAAACTTATTCCTCGTATCATATTAAATTCAGCTTACAAGGGTTTCTAAAGAGTGTATATTAATGAATTTTAAAACAGCTCAATCTTTGGTGATTTAGAATAATCGCCGTTCCACGATAAAAGTTGTGAGTGTGGATGTTGATCATCTGTTAAACAACATCCACACCCACAATCTCTATGTCGTCAATGAGAAAAATAATCGTGTTCAATTTTTTTCAATTCAATAAATTGCATTCGAATCAAAAAAAAATTTTTTTAATTTCTATTCACGCGCGCGCGCGACCAGGAACCATCCTGGTGGCGCTGTGGCGAGCGTAAAGCTCATACACGCGCGGGAAAACTCACATCATCCACATGCACCCATCCGGTGACATATGTCAGTGAGCCTGAGGCCCGACCGTGTTGCCACAGACACCAAGACAGTTCCTGGCCGGTGTTTAGGGTCTATCCGGAAGACCTGATATAGTACAAGACCTCAACTCAAACTCAATAAGAAGAGAAAAATAAATAAATAATCACTCACCCTTTCTTGACGATGTTGATGGCTGTAACGAGAAAAACAAAGAAAATTAATACATATAGAAAGAGAAATAATGAAAAAGGATACAAACATTTTATTTTATTGTTTTCATATTGACTTGATTTAATTTTGAGTTGTTGAGACCAATATCTAAAAAATAAAAAGATCAATCGAAGTCTTACTACCTTCGAAATGATCTTTAAGAAAAAAAAAGAAAAAAAATTGAAAACTAATACCTACATTTTTAGTTTTGATTGTATTGTATTGTATTGATATTGAATTGATTAATCTTGAGTCTTTGAAAAGTAACCTAAAATATAAAAGAAAAAAGGTTAGAATATGATTCAAATAATTGAATGATTTTTTAGTTGAAAATCATTCATTTTTATAGACATTTCAATACATTTTTTCTCTCGTTCAAATAATAATTAGATCATAATAATTATGGACGAGAAAAAATAAATCGTCCGGTCATCGTCATTTTATTCCTTTTTTCTCTCACATTTTATTTTTCATAAGAGAGAATGAGAGATTAGAATTGTCGAGATCAAAATTAAGTGTCATTTTATGAAATGTGATCGTAAAACAATAATACAACTAAAAACAGTTGAAAAAACCTTATTTAATAAATAATAAATATGATAGAAAAATCGAATATCAATAAGAAAGTAAATTTGCATCTTTTTGTTTTGTTTTACAAATAGTTTATTGTATTTATTATTACAGAAAAATAACGAATTATTCTATTATAAATCTATATTTTATTTAGACTACATTCATCAGCACAATGATTTATATCATCGATATTTTTCAAATGATTGAGAATGAATTCTTTACTGAAGATTTATCATAGAATTTATCCAATTTCAAAAATACAAAAAATTATGTTATATGATAAATATTTAGATGATCTTATTTATTCAATTTATTCTCAAAGTTTTGTAAGTAGTAGTAGTGACATATATTGTTCAGTAAGAAATTATCATATAAATACAAAAAAAAGTTTTGTCCACATTTAAATGTTTATTTTATTTTTTTTTGGAAGCAAAAGAATAAAATGATCCAGATCAAAATTATTTATGAAATTTCGTCAATAACAACTACAAATTAGAATCATGTAAACAAACATTGAAATGACTCAAAGATACTATTTGAATAATATCGATAACATAAATGAATTATATCTATTTGCGAACGATAAAATTCTAATGGATATTATTTATGAATGTATTGTTCATTCATATTTAATATCAACAAAGCAATTGATTTTGTTGTCACATTTATTATTACATATCGAAGAGAGTTATTCGAATAAATACATATGACTTCTTACATATATGGATATGTTGCTTATAGATTTATTTGAAAATAGTATCCATTTTTAAGATTATTATCGAATATGAATAATTCAACATTTTTTTATTAATTTACAACAATGAATAATAACAAATTATACAAATTTAATTAATATATTACTTCACTTAAAACGAACGAAATATACAAAAATGTTAATATCTTATTAATCAATATTATTTGATTTATTTATTTTTTTTGTTCATCTTCGACATCAAATGATACATTAAAAAAACATTGGAAATGTTTTAATCAAGAAATGTTATTAAAAAATTAGTAAGAATTACAAAGAAACATTTACTATCTATTATAGAAAATAAAAAGATAGATAGATCATGAAATTTTCTTTTTTTCAAATTTATTCAAATCTGAAAACTATATTCAATGTTTAATTAATCAATGGACACAAACAACTTTATTTAATTTATTTGAATTAATCATCAATTTTATCATGATTTAAAAGAAATTAAAATTATATATATTTACTGTGAATATTATTTTAATAATCTATTAAATACATTATTAGATATAGTTAATTGAAAATAATTTACAATTATCATTTGAAAAATTCCCTCCTTTGGATTATTTCATCTTTTTATAATACCTAAACAATATAACTATAATTTGATATTCACTTGAACATAATTATAATAGAGAGAGATAAAAAAATTTTCTTAATAATTTATTGAAACTTAATTGTAATTATGAATTTCAATTATATTTGGTAAGTAGCTTATTTTTTAATGAAGAGATTGCTCTTAAAATTTTCTACAAATTAATATACTTTACTCAACCAATATGATCTTTTCCATCTTTTTATTTATGAATCAAATCGAATAGTAATATCTTTAGATTTGGATTATAGTTGTATTATTTCATCAATATGATGATTTATTACAATATCGACAAATAGAAATAGATGAATATTCATTTTAAAAATATTTCAGCTATTTATTTATTTTTTCTTTGGTTATTGATAAAATATCAATTATTATTCAATTTGACACATTAAAAACTGAAATTATATTGTCTAATAAATTCATAAACATATATCTCTCTTAAAATTTTACGTTCTATTCTTCATTGTTTTTGAATTACTAAAAATAAACAAAATTAATCTATAATCATCTTAGTCAATTTTATTTATTTTTCTACATCAAATATATACACACACAATTCATTGAACGAGATTCTCAAAACATTATAATTATTCTTCTGATCAACAATATTGAAATGTAAAATAAAAAATTTTTCAATTAGTTCATTCGATATATTGCAACAAATTATTTTAGTTACGAATGAAAATCATAACGAAAACGATATTATTAGGTGTTGTATATAATCAGATTCATTCATTTATAAAATAGATACATATTACTAAATAATTCAACTTTGAAAAAAAGAACTTTTATCAAAATAAAATTTAAAATCTGTTCTTTCGCATTGTCAATAAATTTCGAATGTTTTTGTTATTGATTTAGTCATATTGATATTCTTTCGTTATCTCATGCTTATATATATAACAAGTAATTTCAACTCTTTCATTTTATTTCTTGTTCTACATATTTATATTTTATTATTTAAATCTGTAATTCTTCATCTGTATTGAATGAATGTGAGAAAATACATAGAAAAAAAACAACTTTTTTGTTTCTCATTATAATTTAAATTATATCAAGAACTTAAAATAGGACATATTTGGAAATATGTGTTTAATGTTATGACAACATAATTGTCGAATATTATAAATGAGAATACTTTTACATAAAATTGAGCACAAAAAAATGGATAGTGTTCATTTTTCTGCTCTTAAACTATTTCTTGATTTCTATGTTAAAAAAAGTACACCTTTGTAACATTATCGAATGTTGTTACTGTATTGATTTCTAAAGACAAACTTGAAATAGTTATTGTTCGTCTAGCTCTTATATCTGCACTCTTTACCATTAGACAGACAATTTACAAAATCATGATTCGAATGTGTACATGAATTTTACTTTACTATTGAAAATAAAAGTGATACATTTTGCCATTTTTTATTATTATTATCTATTAATAATTACAATTGTTAATCAAGCAAAAAATTTTAAAAAAGAATTCCATTGCTTGTAACAACCCTGTCAAGTGAATAATGAAGAAATGGTCATTAAAATGCTTTATTACTTGTAACTAGCCCATTTCGACCATTAAAATACATCTTTTCAAATAAATAATGGTGAAATGGCCATTAAAACGAATAATAATTCATTGATGAATAATTTTGGCCATTTCACAATTACGGACTCTGTTTTTTTTTGAGTTTTAAACTGATTTGAAAAATGTTTATAACTTCAAAAATTTATATGAATTATTAATATTTGCTTATTAAACTTTTTTTTCGAAATAGTCAAAAATATTCTTGTAAACTTAACCGCTAAAGTGTCTATGGAAATATGTGACTCTGATGTAATTACACTTAGTAGCAGTCGAAAAGCTGTTTTTTGTATGATAAATCGAAGTAGACAGATTTGATTTTATGTTATGAAGTCTTGGTAAAAAAACAGGATGCATAAGTTACCTCATATTAATCTAACAATCTATAGAAAATTATACAAAGCTTGTTTTTCAAACCACATTGTAACAAAAGCTCCCGAATTCTACATGACACCGTTGATAATAACGAATACTTAAGAATATTTATGTAAACTTATTGGTTTATTTGACTTTTTTACAAAAGTTTTCATTAATTGAACAAATATATTTAGTTCTTTCTACAGAAATATTTCTGTACTAGTCGATCACTTAAATATTTTGTGCGCACTATTATAGCATTTTTTGTAATAATATAAAATGCACATCTTTGTATACATCGCTGAGTGGCACATCAGGTTCAACTATAATGCACTATTTTCTTCTCTTATTCTATTCTCTTTTTTAAAAAAATATTTATGTACTGATCGTAACATTTTCATGTTCTATTTTCTTCTCCATCTTTAGAGAATTGCCCGTAGTTTAATAAATTGCAAAG